TTACGCCACAGTGTCCCCATCACTGCCTGGGGACATTGGGATCCACACAGACCACAGATTGGGCTCCTATGTGAGCCACTACAACACGTCTTCCAGCAGCAGCACAGCTTTTCTACTTGCTCACCCATCCAAGATCTAAACCTGCTTCACTTCAGACGGATTACTTAGTTTGAACTACAGATGGTATGGCTGCTGGCCGATCCTCCGAAAGGACGGTTAGGGACATCTAAAAACATGAATCCAAAGAGTTTTAGCGTTTTCTCCATTTCTCAAAGTATGTGCAGGCATGACAAGGAATTGTTCATATGTTCAAAGTTATATGAGGTCCATGCCCAAACAAATAATATTTCAGGTTTTGCCCTGGCCAGTTCTTGGGACAGCTACTAGAAAAGCTGTGTTACCTATTCTGGTTTGTAACCCTGTGGCCTTCGCTAGACCCCTCCTGGTCCCGTTTTGTTTCCCTGTGTAAGTTCGTTTGATTCAATAAAGCTCCTTGAGTCTTTTCCTCCTCTGAAATGCGTTAGAATTACCAAACCCCACCAAAAACCCAGGGTCTACCATTCTGCTACAACTTCCATGGTGCTCTGCATCCCACAGACAACATACACCGTATCCCTAGCATTGCAAAGGTTTGGGGAATCCTTACTCACGCCTCCTGAGGCATATCCAGTGGCATTCCTGGCAGCTGACTTCTTGCTGGATTCACAATTTGGAGTGGAAGCGTGATTACACCATGTGGAGGATCCCTGAAGCGAGAGAGCTCCTCTAGAAGATTGATAAGGTGTTGGCAGGATTCACCCCAGACACAGATCCCCAGGAGGCAGAGAGGGCCTGGTACCATTTGAGAAGGGTACTGCTGCTGTCTTGTCTCCAGATCCCTGCCCGGGGTGGCCTTTGCTTAAGCAGAGTCCCAAATCCCTGGCCCCAAGGGGGCCACCTTGCCTGTGCTCCATGTTCCTGGCATGGAGAGGGCTACTCCGCCCGCATCCCATGTTCCAGGCCCAAGAGGAGTCCTCTTGGGCTGGAAACATGGGATGCAGGCAGACTGGCCCCCTCTGAGCAGGGAACTGAGTCCGCGGGAGGACGGGTCAAAATGGGAAGACTAGCGAAGGCAACAGGGATACAAACCAGAATAGGTAACACGGCTTTTCTAATACAGTTAAATCCCATTATAGTGGACTTGCTTATAATGAACAAAAACCCAAACTCCCGCTGGTCCCGGCCG